GAGCAAAACTGGTTGGTGTTAGACTGTGAGAGTACTGTATAATAGTAGTGTTTATGGGTATTTCAAATTAGTAAACCTACTGGATATGTCTAGACTTGCAGCTTCTAGTGTTCCCCAGTGATTGTTCTTCTACATGTAAAATGGCATTGGATTTTCCACCTTGGGCTGATATGCAATATTTTAATGTTTTCTGTGTACACTACTGGATGTGACACATGCAGTAAACAGGAAGGAGGCAAGTCAGTAGAGGATACTATTTTAAAATGTTTTTCTTTAAGCTGTGTTTAAAAGGTATGGTTACCTTGATAGTTTTCAAAATATGTTTTAAATTGAGTGTGGTGGATCTTTGGTTATAGTTTCAGGCTAATTCACGGAATAATATTCCAAGTACGGCTGAAGGCAAAAAGATGCAACCCAGAATTCCACCACACCTCACCTTAAAACTCTTAATACTAGTAACAAAGCTTTAAGAGAGGCATTTCAGCCTTTTAGAACAGGGCAGGATTTTGTACAAAACCTAGGAAAATCACCAATTGATTGTAAAACAAGGAAGTGGCCATAATGATCTGGGAAGCCCAAGAGACCAACTTAGGCATTCAGGGCATACATTTCTCCACTCGTGTTTTAAAGTGCATTAGGACTGATCTGAATAATGGGCAAGGGGGGTGGGTGGGACAACACTGTGCTAAAATTCAAATTTGGAAGGAAGGAATGGCATAGAAGTGAAATCATCCTTTAATCACCTTATGACCACTTTTCTATATTTTAAAAGAGGTGTGGTTTTGATGTGTCTAGCAACATGCAGGAATGTGTGTCATCCTATTGTCATGGGTCCTCCTCAGCAAATATCCATGGTTATCTTTCCCAAGGGTGCTATTTTTTGAGCTTTAAAAAAAACCCTACCCAAATGAATTTTAATCTATGTATTTTTAAAAGCTTTGCAATATATTTGAATAATTACAATTACTCTCGAAGGCTTTCATGGCAGGGATCTGATGGTTGTTGTGGGTTTGGCCATGTTCTTAAGGTTTTTCTTCCTTTTTAAATTTTTTTAAAACTTTTAAAACAGAAAACAAATACAAGAACAAAAATACAAATAATTGTGTTTGCTATACACTAAATTCTACCGTGCACCCCATACCCATGGTATCCCATTGAACAATTACAAACTTCCTTTCCAAAATTGTACAGATTGTTGTTTAGACTGGCTTCCCCATTTCCTTTCACTAATACAAATTCAACAAATGTACCCCAAATAACATACAAAATATTGGAATTTATTTCCCCTCTTTTCTTGAGTTCAATAGTCAATTTATCATTTAATGCAATGTCCCATACTTCAGAGTCAGAACTCTGTACTCTGACTCCTGTCCTCTGAAGATGCCGGCCACAGAGACTGGTGAAACGTTAGGAAGAAAAACCTTAAGAACATGGCCAAACAGCCTGGAAAACCCACAACAACCATTACAATTACATTAAAAGAAGCTTTAATAAGCTAACATTTTATTTTAGTAAGACTCAGCACAGCAACACTTCTTCTAGACTGATTTGATCACCAAACCTGGGTCCCAAAGTTTTACTCTGATGCCATCACTGCATAGGGAAAGCAGAGAAGATCAATGATTTGGTGACAACAATGTTTAACAGCTACAGATGGCTGGTGATGACCAGAATAGGGATGACATTGCTTCCCAATCTGTGGGAGTTGCACCCCAACCTCTGGGTCTGTGAACTGCCCCAGTAGGTGCTCTGTAAAATGTGGGTGAAGAGTATTTTTCTGCGTATAAAACACTACTTTTTCCCCAAAAACAAAGAAAAACCTTAAGAACATGGCCAAACACACGGAAGTAAGCCAAGGAGAGAACAAAACAGCCCATACCTTGCCTCTGTAAACAGGCTTCCTTCAGTCACGAGGCTTAGCTTTCTACAGTCAGGAGACTTAGCTTCCTCCAGTCAGAAACCTTATGGAACTGATGTCAGCTGCTGCTGAACAAATCAGTTGGAACACACCTGGTTGGAGGTGGAGCCTGTAGGCTCAGTTACAACAGGGACTCATAATGACCAAGTGTTCTGAGCCCAGAGGCTGAATACGCAAAGCTAAATTAAGATTTCTTAATTTGGGGGGTAGAAACATGGGGGTGGTGTCTTATAAATGGCGGGTATCTTATAAACGGGAAAATATGGTACTTCTTGATGGAGGGTTCTTAGCTTTACTGGTTAAAACACTGTGTGCAACTGTCTTATAAACAGGAAAATATGGTACTTCTGGATGGAGGGTTCTTAGCTCTACTGGTTAAAACATTGTGTGCAACAGTTCCATCTGTCCTTTATAGTTGTAGATTTTATGTGAGAAGAAAAAATGATCATGTAGGGGGGTAGTATTAACATCAGTGGATGTTTACCCATGGAAAACAGTGTCACTTGGATCCTGGTAAAATTCCATGTCATAGGTAGGGTGAATGAATGCACACTGAAAGCATGCCTGCATGTAGACAAAGTTTTTATATTCTGGAGTGAACTAGTGTGATGCTGCCAAAGGTGTGATTTTCAGCAGGTGGTGCCATTTCTGAGTCAGCCCTTCCACAAATGATTGCCATTGATTCAGCTTTGCAACATGGGGCTCTCTGCTTTGTTGTTGTTTTTAAGTGTGATAAATATAAACTTACTCCTACAAACATTTGGCCAGGATTTGAAAACATTCTATTCAAAGCTTACAAAGTGGTGTAACATTTGGCTCCCACAAAAAATACGGCCAAGAGACAGTTCTCCATAAAGCAAAAGGGACCACTTTTTAGTAGCTAGCTTGATGGTTTCTCCATAAAGCAAAAGGGACCACTTTTTGGTAGCTAGCTTGATGGTCTGCATTTATTTGTTTGTTTGTTTGTTTGTTTGCTTGCTTGCTTGCTTGCTTGTGTATACCCCACCTATCTCCTTGAAAAAGAATCAAGGTGGCTTACAACAAAGACAATATTTAAAGTTGAAAACAATGAGCATGCAATGTTGGTTAACATCATTAAAAAGACAATATTTAAAACTATGAACAATGAATCATTAGCAGGCAATATTAAGGGAAAGATCAATAAATATATGATTTTTTTTTTTTTAAATTCAACAGGCAATATTAAGGGAAAGATCAACAAATATATGAAGATTTTTTTTTTAAATTCTAGTCTGAGAAATGGAAAACACAAAAATGGAAAACACAGGTAGCACTACAACTGGAAAACACAAAAATGGAAAATACAGGTAACACTAAAACTCCAGTCAAAGCAGTAATGCATAACAATCTATCTAAAATTCACACACAGGTAGCCGATTACTGAGGGAAGGCTTGGCAGAAGAGAAAGGTATTTGCCTGCTTGTCGAGGGACCTCAAAGATGGTGCCAGCCTGGCCTCCTGTGGGAGAGAGTTCCAAAATCTGGGGGCAGCTACAGAGAAGGCCCTCTATTGTGTCCCCATCAGATGTACATGTGAAGGTGGCTGATCAAGAGAAAGCACCAGAGCCAGCGTCCCCATCAGATGTACCTGTGAAGGTGGCGGATCAACAGAAAGGCCTGTCCTGATGATCTTAACACTAGAGCCAGTTCTTTGAGGTAGTTTGAACCCAGGCGGTTTAGGGCTTGGTAAGTTAAAACCAGCACTTTGAATTGTTCCCAGAAACAGATGAGCAGCCAGCAGAGCTGCTGTAACAGGGAGGTTCCCTGTAACCAGCCCCAGTTAAAACCAGCACTTTGAATTGTTCCCATAAACAGATGAGCAGCCAGCCAGCGGAGCTGCTGTAACAGGGAGGTTACCAGATCCTTGTAACCAGCCCCAGCAACCTGGCTGCTGCATTTTTGGACCCATTGAAGTTTCCCGACACTTCCCATGGGCAACCCCACACAGAAGGCATTACAGTAATCCAGCAGGAAAGTAACCAGGGTGGGTATCAGGTTGGCCAGATCCGACCTCTGTAGAAAGGGATGTCGCTGACTCACTAGTTTTAATTGTGGAAAGACATTCCTGGCCACCCAAGACCATTCCTAAGCTGTGCGCCTTTTTTTTTTAATGGGAAAAAAATATAGGCAGTGAATTCGTGAACGAAGACGACACGTGTACTTCGTGTTGTAACCACCGAGAGGAAGAGAAACGGATCCTTGTCCGTTTGGGCTCCGATCCTTCCCGTTTAGAACTCCCACCCCGTCCACCTTACGTGGGTTTCCTGAGCGTGGTCTCCTCGCCAAGCAACGAACGGTTGAATCGGGAAAACACGCACCGATGGCAGGATTTGGGCGAGGCGGCGCTTACCAGGAGGGGTGCGGGAAAACGCGCGCGTTCCGGACAGAACAGAAGGGAAGCGGGTCGCCCTCCCCCGACAAAACGCCAAAATGTTCCAAAAACCAGGCTATTTTCCCTCTCAAGAGGCTGGATTTCGGGAAGCTCAGTGGGGGGAGACGCAGGGACCCCTAACACCGAGGGTGTGTTATTTCTTGCCCTTCCACCTGCCCGTTCCTTCTTCTCCTAACTAGCCCGCGCAGGAGAGGACATCACCCATCATGGAGAAATATGTATTACAATCTGGTCCTATTGCTAGGACGCGCGATATTTTAAGAGGCGCCAGGAAATTCGAGAAAATAATAATAATAATAATTAAAAAACCGCTCCCCGTCTCGAGCTGGCTTTCTTTTGGATGGAGGGCGGCGCGATGGAGGTTGTGGGGAGAGAAAAATATGGAGGCAAAAGCAACCCCCCCCCCCGATCAGCAGAGGAAGGCAGCCAAGTAGGAAAGAAATCGGGGCGGGGTGGGAAGGAAGGAAGGAAAACGGTTTAAGAGCTGGTTTAATAATACCATTTACATACAAAAAAATGGGGTTTGCGGCGTGGATAATAGACGGCTCCCTCGCCCGCCCCACTCCTCTCCCTCTGCCTCTATATTAAATATGCTTTGCTTGTCAATTTCATCGCCCGGTGGATTTCTGCAGGGGAGAGAGAGCGAGCCCCGCCCCCCCGTGCGCGCAGGCGCGGCCAGCCTGAGGTTCCCGCAGGCTCAGCATTCAGTGACCACAGGCTGATTATTGTAGGTAAGGAATCAGATAAGAAAGTAATTTATAAACCTCTTTAAATCATCAAAAAAATGCAGCTCGGGAACGGTCTGCGCCGGGTTCTGCGGCCCTTTGCTCCCGTTTGCATGCCGTGCATTGATCTGAAAAAATGCGCGCCTACCTGCTTTGGCGAGTGGATGTGCCAGCGTTTTGATTTTTTTTTCCTCCTCATTTTTTTTCCTTCCGAGGGGGAAAAAAACACCTCCCCAATTCTTTACTTGCATTTTTCCCCCTTGCCATTCCAAATAAACCTATAAATCCTAAGACCCTCGGGGGAGGGAAATCCAAACCCTTGGTGATTGACGTTTTGCATGAGTAAAGGGGGGGGGGGGGGGGAATC